CCCCATTCCCCATCATCATGTACTCCTGTTAACATCCCAAGTCTTTCTCCCACTCCCTAGCATCAAAAAGACAGAAACAAGAAAAACAGCTGATTATTCTCAAATACTCTGTGACAGACTCCTGACTTTTGCTGTTGCTCCTTGATGTGGAAGAGTGAGCATCACTTGTTACAAAGGAAACTTTGCCATCTCCATTGTTCTAAAGTACCCAGATGGGCAGATGCTATGGTTTCAACCTATGTTTCACCTTGAAATTTCTAACGATTAGAAAAATCTTAGGCTCATAAGAAGATTCTGAGGAAGTGAAGAGTGGATGGCCACCGTCCTAGCCCTGTGAAGAAAGAAAGGATATTTGTGAGAATCAGACAGGTATTTACTGCAGCATCCATCCCACTGGGTCTAGACTCCCTGAGCATCTCATTAGAGACAAGCAGAAAGTCATTGTCCCACCTGTTTCCTCATCCCTGGGGATCAGTGATGATGTCAAAGTGTGTCATCCCCGTCCTGGGTCAGCCCCTGGAGATGAGGCAATGTGGGTGGAGGCAAGTCCAAGAGATAATTCTCTTAGAACTTCCTCATCTCATGACAGAAGCCCACTGATTTGAAGAGTTTGTTTCTTATTTTCTTAACTCAGAACATTAGGGTGTTGCAGAGTGAACTTTGTCTTTTTTCCTGATATCTTAATCATTTCCTATATAGGGATTTGTGTCACTTTTGCCACAGGATGTGCTTGGAGCATGGGTGTGAGTTGGTGACTTTACTGATCTAAGATTGATCCCTTAAGACATATGATGTAAAGAAGAGTGACAAAGGAGCAAGATGGAAGAGCATAGAACCTGTCATGACTGGGGACTCCATTATCCAAGAGTAGACCCCCTTTGGGATATCTGACAACTCACAAAGGATCCCCATTGGCAAACAATTCCCTAATCTCTACCCCCTCAAGAGTCTGACTTCAACAGCCTGATTCACCTTCCACCAATTCTTTGTGTTTTATGATGTCCACCCACACCTCCAACCCCTCATGATGACAGCTTTAGGACAGTAGCCTTGGAAACCTTTGGCGATTTTGAGATTGTTAAAACTCTCTTTTGTTGACTACATGAGCTATAAAACTAATACTTTGCACCTGACATAAATCAACAAACATAAATCACACTATACAATCCAATTGGTACATAACCTCTTAAAAGGAATAGTTTCTGAGGTGGTTGGTGTGTGTTCTGACCCTGAGGAGAACTCCTTCCAGCTGGTTTTGTTACTTTTTTGAGGAATCTTGGTATGTAGCCCAGGCTGACTCCAACCTCCTTGTTTCACCTTCCTTGGACTCCTTCTGGTGATAGTTTGTTCTCTAACAGAAAAAGCTTGCCTGAAGATGATAAGGTGGAGCTAGCCACTAGTTTACCATAGAGGTCAGGCAGTGGTAGCACACACCTTTGATCTCAACACTTGGGATCTCATGCCTGTGATGGCAGTATTTGGAAGCACCCACCTCTAATCCCAGCACTAAGGAGGTGGAGACAGCAATATAAGAAGGGTGGAAATAAGATCTTGTCCCTTTCAGTCTAAGATTTCATAGAGACAAAAATTCTAGTGACTGACTGCTTTTTTGCTTCACTGATCTTTCAGCTTTCGCCCTCAATATCTGACTCCAGGTTTTATTGATAAGACTAATTAGGATGGAGCTTCATCTGGAGACCAACTTTGGGGCACAACTTCACCAAAAAAGGTAATTGCCTGTGGTTTTGCAGCTTTGAAATGGTTGACAGACAAACCATATTGGTTGAGCAATGGCCTTTAACAACAGAGACTGGAGACCTTAGAACAGCAGATACAGGAGCAGCTAAACGTTCAGCATATTCAAGGGTCAACCAGTCCTTGGAATTTTCCTGTATTTGTTATTAGAAAGAAATCTGGAAATGGAGAATGGTAACAGATCTATGAGGTGTTAATAAGGTGATCCAGCCAATGGGCTCTCTACAGCCTGGAATTCCTTTGCATTCTCTATTACCTAAAGGACGGCCTCCTATAGTTATTGATTTAAAAGATTGTTTCTTCACTACACAATTACAAGAAAAATACAGAAAATTTTGCCTTCACAGTGCCTATTTATAATTCTCAGCCTGTTAAGAGATATCAATGGAAGGTTCTCCCATAGGGACTGTTAAATAGCCTCACCCTTTGCCCATATTTTGTAAGTCAGTCATTGCAAATGATGCATAAGCATTTTCTCAGTCTATAGTTTACCATTATATGGACAGTATTTTACTAGCTTATTCAAATGTAGATATTTGGAGAGAGTGTTTGAAGAAGTAAAGAAAAATTTCCTTGTTGGGGATTATAAATTGTTCATGAAAACTACAAAGAGAAGATTCTATTAATTACTTAGGATATGAAATAGGTCTACAGAAAATTAAACCCCAAAAGGTACAAATCAGATGAGATCAATTGTGGACTCTTAACGACTTTCAAAGATTGCTGGGAGACATCGCCCATCTCTGGCCCATTACTGGAGTAAGAAATCAAGAACTGAGTAATTTGTTCCAAACCTTAAAAGATGACAAGGACTTCAATAGTCCAAGAGAATTATCAGCTGAGGCCGAGAAAGAATTGGCTGACGTGGAAAAGAAATCACGAGATGCACATGTGGATCATTCAGATCCAGAACTGGATTGTATTTGGGTTATTTTACCCTCTATGAATTCTCCCACCAGAATATTAATGTGGAGGGGGGCAAGTAATATCTTAGAATGGATCTTTCTACACCATAAACAAAGTAAAAAATTAAAAACTTATGTAGAAAGGGTCTCTGAGTTGATTCTAAATGGAAAATTGAGACTTCATCAATTAGCAGGAATAGACCCAGAAGAAATTATAGTACCATTTATGTATGATGTAATTGACAAATGATGGACAAAAAGTAAACCTTGGCAAAGAGCTTGTTTTGCTCTTCTCCCAAAACAATTTTTTTTGGGAGAAATTAACAATAAATATCCAAAAAGCAAGAGTTCAATTCATTGTTCATCCAAACATTACAGGGACCCATCTAGCTAGCTGATGCAGCAGCCTCCAGAGGGAATGAAGTTCCCTGTCTACTGCTAGGGTTTTTTTCTTATTTTTTGGTTTTGTTTTGTTTTTTCAAGACAGGGTTTCTCTGTGGCTTTGGAAGCTGTCCTGGAACTAACTCTTGTAGACCACAATGGTCTCAAACTCACAGAGATCTGCGGCCTCTGCCTCCCAAGTGCTGGGATTAAAGGCATGCACCACCACCACCCAGCAAAGAGTTCAATTTATGGACAGAATTAACTGGATCCTTCCTCACATTGTACAAGAAACACCAATAACTGAAGCCCCTACATTCTAAACTGATGCAAATAAATCAGGAAAGGCAGGCTACAAATCAGAAAATTTAAGTAGAGTGGCTCAAAGCTTTTATGATTCTGTCCAAAAGTCAAAATTATATGCTATTCTCATGGTATTAATGGATTTTATGAAACACAGTTACTGATTCTCAATTTGCATATTGAAAATTCTGAATATATGCCCGATGATACAGTATTGACTTTATTGTTTATTCAGTTACAAGAAATAATCAGGAATAGGAATCATCCCATATATACAATACATGTCTGATCTCATATGGGTTTGCCAGGCCCTCTAGCACAAGCTAATGAAGAAACTGATCAACTATTGATAGGAAATGTGCTGGATGCCTCAGAATTTCATAAAAAGACAGCATGTCAATAGCAAAGGTTCGAAAAAATATTTTTCCATCACTTGGCAATAAGCCAAGGAAATTCCCTATCTGTTCTTTGTTCAAACAAACTCTACTACCTGCAGAAAGTAACCCAAAGGGTACTCAAAGGAATGAAATCTGGCAGATGGATGTGTTTCATTTTGTAGAACTTGGAAAATTAAAATATGTACACCACACCATTGATACCTAGTCATGATTTCAACAGGCAACTGCTGTGAGTTCTTAAAAGGCTGATTTGGTAATTACACATTTGGCATCATGGGCATACATGTACAAATTAAGACTGACAATGCTCCAGCATATGTCTCTAGTAAAATGAAACAGTTTTGCTTATTAAAATATAAAGCATATTACAGATATTCTTCACAATCCTACAGGGCAAGAAGTTATAGAAAGATCAAATTGAATTCTAAAGAATATGCTAAATAAACAGAAAGGTACAATAAAGACCTCCAGAAATAAATTTCATAATGCTTTATTAACTTTGAATTTTCCAAATGCTAATGAGAAAGGAATGACAGCTTTGGAGAGACATTGGATAGTAGGAAAAAACTTACAGAATTAAATCAGCCTATATATATTAATGATGTATTGATCTCAGAGTGGAAACCAGGATGTGTGTTAAGTTAGGGAAGGGGTTTTGCTTTGTTTCCACAGGAGAAGAAAAGCTGAAGAACCTGCTTGGGCTGTGAGAACCTGAACTTACCTGAACTTATGACCCTGCCTGGAAAAGAACCGTTGGTGTTGGGAAATTCCACCCTGATAAACAGTCCCCAGAAATAGAAGTGTAGCCACCCTGAACATTCCATGACCCTGGGGGTTTTGGTTTGGCAGATGTAGGCAGCCAATCAGAAACGTAACTGTTGGTCACCTCATTCCCACC